GGCGGCGGCGGCGGCGGCGGAGTCCCGCGCTTCTGAGGCTTTGCCAGAACAAAGCCTCAGAGGTGCGGGACCCCTCGCCTCCCCGGCTTTGCTCCAGGTGTCCCTGGTCTGCTGGAGACGGTCCCCAGCAGACCAGGGGCACCCGGAGCAGCTTTTCTCGCCCCGGAGGTCGAGGTGGCGGGACTGCTGCACTCTGGGCGGTCCCGCTGCCTGCGAGCTCCGGGGCGAGAGAGCCCCATTCGTAAGTGCGGATCCGACATAAGTCGGATCCGCGTAACTCGGGGACTGCCTGTATATTGCTTTAGCTAACAGAAGCATACACCAGCCAGTAATCCAACTTTCTCCTCCTTGCCCAACTTGGCCTCATCTTCTCACCAGCAACTTGCCCAAAACTGCTCAAATATATAGTGAATGTTAAGGTGTCTGCAGTTTTTGCTAAATTTGTAATACTCAAAATTCTAAACCCTTCTTACCTTTTGTATTGCAAATATACAGCATTCACAATTCAAACACAAAGAGTCTCCAACCAAGTAAGAACAGCAGTGGGTTCCTATTTTTGCTCCTGTCACAGAGACACCTCAGTCAGCTGTGAACTTCAAAGCTTAATGAGATCACTTAAAGTAACTTTAAATCAGTGATCTAAGTAGCTTTAGCTATTGTTTCATATGCCATATTTGTGGCTTAATCACATTCTTTTAGATTTTTCACCACGTGGTTGTGTGAAGGACCATACAGAATGGGAAAATAACTAAGTAGAAGCATCAGAGGGGTAGCCGAGTTATAGACTAACTGGAAAAACTTAAACAATGAATAGTTTAGCAGCACCTTAAAGACTAAGAAAATATGTGCTGGTGATACGAGCTTTCGTGGACACAACCCTCTTCTTCAGATGAATGGAGTATTAAAGGTCCATTTCCAAAATGAATACTTGGGGATGGGGGCAGGGAGAGAAGGAATGGAAAGCGGGGTGATTTATACCCAGCAATGCTTTCAGACATGCAAAATAAATACTTTTTCAAAACGTTCAATTTTTGATGGTATTATGAGAATCAAATGTCTTGATTCTGCCCCTTCAAATTGTAACATTAAACATGGATTATTATTTATTTTTATTTATAAAAGGATTTGTAAGTTAATTTTATCATACAGCAAATACATGTTCTAATATTGTTTAGTTTCCAGTTAAGATGAAAGGAAAAGTTGGTTTCAAAAGCAGTAGGTTGCATATTTGTATAATAAATAATTACACCGTATTTATTAATGATTTTTCTAGTTAAGTATTTAGCTTATTGTATTGCTTGTCACTAAATGGGCCTCCTTAAAATAAAGTATGCTTCTTCTGCATGCTGTTGGTGAAACTCACTCTATTTTATAAAAATTAGTGCAGACTTTGTATGTTAGTCAACACTTATACTATAGCTTAGTCCCCTGACTCAGTTACAGCATAGTTATCCCCTGACCTAGTAAAGGGCGTTGCCTTGAGTTTTGACTTAGCTCTAGGTCCTTGTACAGTGCCATCTCCTATACAGCGTTTAGCCATGTTGTAAACGAATTGGGGACAGTTCTTGTAATCAGGCTCTCAGTTGTAGATGGACCCAAAATCTGTAATGCATATTTAGTTTTTGTTTACCTGTAAAGTTCACCCCCCTTTTTTTGAGGCACATACACAGGAAAATAAATTGCATAAGAATGTGTGCATTATTTAGTTCTTTCATGTTTCTTAAAAATGGCATTATCTGAATTTGTTCAAATGTACAAAAGAGGTCTTTGACATAAGACAAATGTACAGAACAGAAGCATTTAAAACTGGTTATGGTGGCAGACTCAGTATAACATTTTCTTTAGTGTTTCTTGCCGCTTCATTTTCTGAATGTTTTTTCTGTGGGTAAACACAATTAAGTTACTAGCTGACAATGTAGTTACTTTCATGTAACTTAAACTTCTTAAGCAACAATCGACAACTGTAAGGCAGATTGCAACAGTAAAATAATATTTTCATGGTAATTTCTTAACCTTCTACTACGTTTACCTTTGTAGTAGTTACAAATGCACAAAAACATTGATTTTGCTTTAATGAAATGTTAACATGCCATTGCCACCTTAAGATGATCAAAGAGCTTGCAAATTTTATCTTGGTTGTAGTGATACTTTTCTCTAGTCATTGTGGTCTTTCTAATCCTTATAGCAAATAGCTAACATACGCATTTTTCCCATATAACAGAACTCTCTGCAGAAGCCAAAGCAGCGTTATTTGAATTTGAAGAAAGGGAAAGACAGTTTAAACAGGGACGCTATGGCTCAAGGAGAGGAGGGAGGAGAGGAGGTTCCATAATGTGTCATGGAATGGGAGAACAAAGGAGAGACAACAATGAAAGGGGAAGAATGAAGGATCACAGGCCTGCACTGCTGCCAACACAGCCACCAACAGCGGTAACACAGTAATTTCTTCATGGAAATGATACTTTTAAGAAAATAATTATAGCAGTTACACTGATTTGTAGGTCCTTGTCTTTCAAAACTAGGTTGAATTTTAGAAAAAATCTCCACTATTCTTAATCATTCACAAAGATTCAAAAACCTGAAACCTTATTGTACTGCAGCTCCAATGGATCTTAAAGGTAACATGGGCTTCTCATACTTTTGTGATTAGAACTTCACACACGTTGTTAACCAAAACATTTTTATGTGAAAAATGTAGATTCAGCAACGCTGAAACACTCCATGAATTCTTAATTTCTTATATCATTTTGGTCAGTGAAAAGGCTTAAAAAATTAGACCTTTTTTTGCAATTGAACTGTTCTGAATTTTTCATTCAAAATGACTCCCTTTTGAAGTGTTAAGTCTAATTTAAAACTTTAATGTGCAAAATCAAAATGAAATGTTTTGGTTTGACACACTTTTTTTGAACTTCTCAATTTGCTGAACAGATTAGTTTTTAGTCAAATATTTTTTTAAAATCTTCCCTGATTGTTTAGAATTGGTACCAATCCCAAAATATTCATTATTCACCTAATTGTAGTTGTGCATTGTGGAAGTATGAGAAATGTCACGTTTCCACTTTAGTATCCAAATTGCAAGCATTTTTTCAAATGACACAAAGAGACTCTGTTTTTTGGGTCAACAGAGGAACAGGTTAATTCCGGTTGTATAAGGGAGCCATCTATGATTTTGACACTAAGTCCAACATTACTGATTGCTGCTTAACCTAGATGGAAGAAATGTGACCAAATATTTCCTTATCTGCTGAATTTATCTCTGGTGACTTAAAAAGGTGTTAAAATAGTGATGTTAGTTTTTTTTTAACACTAAGTATTCTTCTTCGCATGATTGCTCATTTCTGTTCCATGTAGGTGTGCGCGTGCAGTGTGCATGCATTGTCGGAAGTTTTTCCCTTAGCGGTACCTGTTGGGCCAGCAGGGGAGCCCTGTGGAGTGGTGCTGCTATATCGGCTAATATATACTCCCGCTGGCCCTCCATCCCCTCAGTTCCTTCTTACCTCCCGTGATGGTCATTGGAATGTGCTCTGTTCTTTCTCTGCAAGTGCTCCTTAGCAGTTCTCACCTAGTTGTCTTAGTTTAGAGTTGCTGTTAATTGTTCGTTCTCTTCTGTAAACAGTTCTCAGTGTTAAGTAGTTCATTCTGGCGTGGGGACTCGCTTTGCGCTCCCTGCTCCTGTGGTGGGGCATAGCTGGGCCCCAGGGCTTCAAGTCGTGTGCTTCAAGCCTATGCCCTGTGGGGATCCCCATGAAGCCTGCCTAAAGTGCCGTGGGGAGGCCCACCTTTCAGAGTCCTGCAAGATTTTCAGGGGATTCAATCCGTGAACCAAGCTGGAGTATGAGTCTTACCTTAAAATCTCGCTTATGGAGGTGGCTCTCTGTCCAGCACCGACCTCAAACCCTGCGCTGGCCACGCAGAACACACTGGCCTCTGTGTGTAAAGCACCCCACCACTCCAGGGCCTCCCCAATATGGAGATGGTGCTGCAGAAGAAATGGAGGCTGAGCAGGAGCCGGTCTCTATCGCAGCATGTGCTGACAGTACACCCTCGAGAAGGACATGGGACACCAGTGGGCTCGACACCCGAACCTTCGAGATTGGGCAGACTTCATATCGGCCCGTGCCGGGACTCCAGCAGAAGTCCACCTGGAGCCATCAACGCAGGATACCTTTCAAGCCACAAGGGACTTAATCAAGTTGACTTTGTCCCTGACCCAAGTGCCGTCCTTGAGGGGGGGAGAGGGGAAAGAGACAGACACTCTTGATGGCACAGGGCCGAGGCTTTGGCCTTAAGTGCTCCAGCACCAGTCCCAAGGTGGCATCATAGAGCCTCCCTGGTGCCCTCAACCAATATACTGGCACCACCTCTGTCAGCGGCCCTGGCTCTGTTCTTGGTGCTGACCCAAATCCCAGCCCCAGCACCAACTCCAGGGGCACCAGCACCGACCCCTGTGCACACTTCAGTGATAACACTGACACCGGAGCCCTCCATGACACTGCCGCTGACTCTAGCGGGACATGCAGCATGGTCTTTGCCACATTTTATTCTCATCTCTTTAAGTTTTGTTTGGCTGTTGGTCATAGTCTGTGAATTAGGCTTGGGCACCACACACAAGAATGAATAACCTTTTAGCCCTTTCCTTTACTTCTCATTCCCTGCCTTATTTCCCCTTCATGATGATATTTTTTACTTTCAGATTATTCCTTCCCATGCTGGTAGTTGCAGTAGTTTCAGCTGGTTCTTGGAAACTATTGGAAACTGTGACCTTAAATTAAATTAATGGAGATTGCCTATCTCCTAGAACTGGAAGGGACCTTGAAAGGTCATCCAGTCCCATCCCTTGCCTTCACAGCAGGACCAAGTATCATCCCTGACAAATTTTTGCCCCAAATTCCTAAATGGCCTCTGTAAGGATTGAACTCTCAATCCTTGGTTTAGCAGGCCAATGCTCAAACCACTGAGCTATCCCTCCCCCCATTCTCTGAGATACCAACTTTAATTTTTCTGATTTTTCATCAGGGTACTTGGATTTTAACCAAGGAATTTTGTTCTTTTTGATTATTTGCAGAGTCATTCACAGAGGTTAATTCCTCCTCACCAGCAACAGCCTATTAGGAGTCTGTTCCCACAGCAACAGCTACAAACGCTACTTCCTATTCAGCATCAACATCATTCGTCTCCTCCTCCAGGGCTACATATGCCACCCCAGATTGAAACACCTGGAATAATGATGACTCCACCCCCAGTGACACCTCAGCAACCAAAGAACATACATATAAACCCACATTTCAAAGGGACGGTAGTGACACCTGGGCAAGGTGAGTTTTCTAAATATTTTAAGTTCTGAATTAGCATTGCCATGCAGGGAGTGGGGAGAGAATATCTACACAGTTTTCCTGTGATCATTCAGTCAAACTTACATAACATACTTTCAGGCTTAAATTCTACTTAATCATAGAGCAAATATTTTGTAAAAGTTAGTAGCTCTTCTCTAAAATGACACTAAATGTAAAACTTGCATTATCCTTTAAGGAACAATTGACGTGCCAGATGTAAAGAAGGCATATTTAAATATTAGACATCAGTTTTCAGAAGTTAAGTGCTCCCGCTTATAATTTCACAAGTGGTATACTAGCTTCAGCAAGGCACATTCAGAACATCTGTGATTATACATCTGGTCCCCTTATGACCATTCGCATTTATGACTAAAGCTGTCATAAATGGCGGACCCCGAGTTACAAACGCGATTTGTGCTTACAAACAGCGCTGTCGCGTGTAACTCTATGGGGTCCGACTTACGAACAAACCGAGTTACAACCAATTGCTTGGTCCGTAACCGGTTCGTAAGTTGGGGAGCAGCTGTACTGTGGCACCCCTCAACGTATAGGTTGAACCCCTGAAATCTGGGAGACTCTGGTCTAGCAACATCTGTGGTCCGGCAGGACGATGGATGTTGCTGGACCACAGAGCTCTGGCACCTGGGAATACAAACCGGCTGAGGGCCCTGTCACCAGAGAGCCTCGGCTGGGCGGGACAGCAGCAGGACAGCTAGCAGCAAAAATGGGACAGCCAGCAAGCCCAATACCCAGGGATCCCTGGTGGAGGGCGGCAGAAACGGGTTAACCGGCAAGCCCTGTCCCTGGGGATTCCCAGTTGGGGGGCGGGGTGAAGCAGGGTTGCGGTGGCTGGGGAGCATCAACCCCTGGGAGCCCCAGTGGACCCAGAGCCCAAGTCCAAGCCCAGCAGGCTGGAGCCCAGTGGCAGTGGGGCCAGAGCAGAGCCAACCGCAGGGAGAGAGAGTCCTACGAGACTGGTGACAGGGGACCTCCCCATGTCTGGTAAATTTCCTCATTCGGGATGGGTCAGCTCCCAAGGGTACTGGACAAGGGAGCTCCTATCTGTATAATGATTGTATGAAAGATGCAAGTTTTGTCCATTATTTATGATGCTCCTGACATGATATGCTCTGCTTGTTCTTAACTCCACTATTGCTAATGGATTATTTGATTCAAAGCCTGAGAATCAAACTTTTTCCATAACTTGTTTAATTCAAGGACCCGTTGCTGGGTCACATTTTTTTGAGAACTTGCAACAAGTTGAAATTGCAATTTCTTTGGCTGTGTTGAATCTGAAACTAAAGAAAAAAATATTTGTATAAATTGTGACTTTTGGAAGTACTTGCAAAAGAAATATTTTTTTTACATTCTGATCATATACATTTTTTCTCCTCAAATAAACAAAGAGCTCACTTAAAGCTAACATTCTACTTATCATTCTATCAAATAAAGGAAAATTGCCAGGACTAGGCTTTGCCAATTGGGAGAAATCTTAAGTATGTTAATCCTGTACCAGATCCACTTCTCACATATGGGTTTCAGAATGGCTGTTTCCTGGAGATTATTTCAGTTTTCCATATCTTATAAAAGCAAATACTTCCCGCCTATTCAGTTAGTAGGTTGCAATACTTGCAGTAGTCTAGAAGGTCCTTAGTCTTGCATGAATCACTTTTGTTCACCCATCTTAAGATTTCCAAAGCAACCATTGAATGTATTTGATAAAAAGCAAAGAATCAGATTCTGCCTGTCCGCACCTCTTCAATCAGTCAGTAAAAGTCTAACCCCCAGATGAACAGCCTGCCTCTTCTAATTCCAGTAAACAGTGTTTGGAATTTTTACTCTGACCTCAAAAAAGGATACCAGCACATCCTCCATCCACCCTTTTATGGATTTGAACAGGAAAGAGGCAAAATGGAGATGTTTCAGTGCTCTCTGCACAGTTAGTCAAAAATTACAGGTAATAAGCAGTATTTCCTCTAAGGTGGGTGTCAGCACAGCTTCCCAGGTGATTAATCAGTCCCACCCAGTCGGAGGCTCCGGGCTCTGTGCACAGAGCTGACTGATTGGGCAGGTTGGTTAATCACCTCTGAAGCTGTGCTGCCACACATCTTAGAAGGAACACTAGAAACAGGGTGGATTTTGGAGTCACATGGGCAAATCACATGTCAATGCATGCTTCACTTAGTCATACTAGAGACCATCATCCATACTGTAGTTAGAATGTCCACAGGAAAATCCATTAAGTATAGCTAGGCATCTTCCATTGTGAGTTGTGTTCTTTGAAGAGCCATTTGACTTGAATAGCCCCTTCCAGGCTAAATACTTTGTAGATGGTAGCCAGAAGCAAACACATTAGAAATAAAGGTATAGAACCAGTACTCATAACTTCAGAAACAAAAAGGATACATACAACATAATTCTATTGACACCTTACTTGACACACATTGTGTAAGATTTGTTTGTTATAGAACAATGATAACAGCAGTGATCTACGTGGTCATATTTTAATCAGACAACATCACAGTTTCACTAAGTTCATTTGAATCCATTTAGTCTGAAATATACTTCCTGGAAATACCAAGACTTGAAGCTTAGGGTACTGAGACTAGCAGATTCTGTAAAACTGGAACTCAAGTCACTAAAACTATTTTGCAGGATTGTCTGGAATTTCAGCTAAATAATTTTACAGCAGGGCTGAGCCCAAGTATGATTAGGTCTTTTTACTAAGGACATTTGTTCTAAATAGGAATCATGGAAATTTACTATCCACACTCCTATTTTCTCTTTCTCTAAATCTGTGAAACTTCTGGGGAAAGTGACAGAGAGAAGCCAGTCAGAGATGTTAGCCAGTAGGACCAGAAGCAAGCAAAGCAGAGAGAACTGCATTTAGGTGGTGGGGTAGGGATAAAATGGGATCAAGCCACCCTTCACTCCTAGCATCCTCTGGATATGGAAGTGTGGGGGAAGAACCCCTTCTCTGAAGGCACTAGATCCCAGGTAGTACCTACCTACACTCATGCCAATTAGCCTTGAGATAAATGTTCAAGAGGAACCAGCCAAGAGACTTCAACTGGCAGGAGCAGAAGCAGCCAAAGTAGAGACCCGTGGTTATTCAGATAACTTCAGTTTTGACTGGACAACTTCTGCCATATTCTGATTGATTTGAATGTTTGTTCTTACCCTTCTCTTTCCACTCCTTTTATTATCATTTCGCTTTAGGTGTACTTACTGCACACTTGCCTCTTATCTTGTTCTCCCCTGCCCTGCCCCCTTGTACCGTTTCCCTTCAGTGTCATCTCTTCTGTTTCTAATGATTTCATTTATTTTTCCTAATCTTTCCATTTTATGTGTTCCCTTTGAACTAAACCCATCAGTAAAATAACTGTTGTAGAACAAAAGTGCTTGTTGCCAATACATTACTCACTGGGTGTATTATACCTAGGTTTGATGGAATTTAATTTTTTGTAAATTTTTGACATATTTATGCTTAAGAAATTTTAAAATATTTATCTATTTACACTTTCATAGCTGTGAAATTTTGGGATGGGTAGTCACAATTATTTAATGATAGTAGAGGCTGAGATTGAGAGTTAAAATTTTATAGCTATTAAAATATGTCTCAAAATATACAAATTAAATATCCTTAAATAGAAATATAATAAATTCAAAAGCAGCATTTTTTACATTATGTAAACTTCAGTTATTAAAGGAAATATTTTTTTCATCCATTTGTGTGTATGGGTTGGGGGGGAGCGGATAAATTTACATTTACTAATAAATCATCCATCCAGTAATAATTTAGATCCATTCACTCACCCTCTCTGTCTAGATCATAAGCTGTTTCTGGGCTAGGACTCTGTTTATATACAACAGTGGCACTTCGTTCTTGGTTAGCTTTTAGCCTGTACTGTAATAAACATAATTAATAATTTTAAACATCTTCTGAAACAGTCTCAACAGTTATAGTGTAGTATGTCACAAGGCTGCCATTTGAACTGTTGCATCAGAATTGTGGAAGTAGTCTCCCTAATGGCTACCACTTTGGCCTGAAGAGTGAGTTTGAAGCTTTCCCACTGAAAAGTCCTGTCTGTAGGTAACTCCTGTTTTCATACCAAAGATAAACTCTTCTTTCTATATAAGAAGAACTTGCCATTACTAGTCCAGTTCTCCAAGCCAAAGAAATCCCACAAAATAGTTTCATACCCCTTGTATCTGGGTTATACAATTTTCTTGTCTGAGCTATTTTTTCTTCAAATGAGATTTTTTTTTCTACTTTTTAAGATAGATGTTCAAATCAAATTTTTACCTGAGGAACACAACTATACTCCATGCTTTCTTTAACCTCTTTTTAGAAAAAAGGAAAGAGAAACTTACTCGTGAAAATCTTCAAATCTACTATGTCAGCTTCCAGTCACACCTTCGCCAGACCCATTGACATACAGCTACCAGTCACACCTTTGTATACTAGGTCCTTCACACTGCTATGTGTTAAACTTTCTTCCTTCCCTCCTGCAAATCTCTTGCCTCTTCCACCCCAGAATTTGAACACTAGAATGGTCAATACACTCCAGTATGAATAATTAACAAATATGATAGGACAGCATGGTTCCCAGCCTCAGCAATAATTTCACATCAGCTCAGTTTTAGAGTTTGTGGTTCAGGTTTTCCTCTTAATATTGATATAACAAATAACTATCCCAATAAGTGTTTTAAGGAGCTATCGAATTCAACAGAGTTACCAGACTGTTTCTTACTAACTTACTAAATTGCTATGTAGTGACTCAATTTTATCCTTTAAAACTAACTTTAAAACAGTTTTCTGGGGGGGGGGAGAAAGGG